TTTGTCTATAAAGACCGATCCACTGCCTGAGCACGACTTACATTGGGCCTACTTATACCTGGGCTAAAACGGGGATGGGAATGATAAATTAAATGATAGATATGAAGCCACTTCTTAAAGTTAGTAATTCTTTAGATTAAAAGATTAATTGTCAGAACGTTCGACACTCTAGTTTATTCCTTAGGGCCTACCAAGATGGACAGCCTTTTAGATATGTTAAGACAAATGAGCATAACTTGTATCCATGCTAAGCACCTTAGCACCTAAGGCTTGGAAATCTTACCGATTTTAAAGTTATTTTAAGCCCTAGTGACATATTACAGCTCTATCTCACTAACCGGTTAGTCTCATTACGTGACATCGCATCTCTCCTTTAAAATTGTTTCCTCTTGCATAACAAATTATTGATAACCTCGTGTAAAAATGCTTTATTATCTTTCTACATAGTCACTAGGACACAGATCATAACAAAGCTTTGATTCATAATTTTTGATCCCTACAGTAGACAGGTAAGGGCTAGATTTTGCAGGATCATTTCAAATTATACATTAAGAGGTATATGGCTTACTTACCATACTTTTATTTATTTATTTTAATTAACGTATTTCCCAGTTGCTAATAAACTTAGGGATTAGAAATAGAGTCTTCTCTTACGATGACCAGATATTTATCACGCTTTTCATATTCGTGCTTTTACTTAAAACGGCATTTAACTAACAAATATCTGTTTTTTCGTTTACCTATTTCCTAATTTATAACAGCTCAGTACCAGTCGCATACGGCTGAAACTGATCAAGAAGACATTTCAACCTCACTCTTTATCGAACCTGGAGACCGGCTTTCAGATGAGAATCTTCCACCACCTAAAGGACTGGGCCCCGACGAGAATATCACAGCTGCGATCTTCGTATCTGAGCCTACTTCATGTAATCAAAGTCCCAAAAGCTTTATTGAGGAAATCACTCCTTCAGGAGATGGGAAGATTGGTGTTGGCATAGACCATTTACAAATCGGATCTGGGTCAAGCCTGCTACCTCAGACACGACTTTCCGTCTCACATAAAATTCATTCAACTCCACACCAGAGTATGGATTATCAGAATACAGAAGTTTCGTCAGAGGTTTGTTAATTTTTTACCTATAAAATTAGATATTACATAAGCTATAATGACTCGAAACTATGACGTAAGCTCAATCTTATCTAATAGTAGATCGATATTGTACGAGCAATTCATATTATGCTGCAAAAAGAATTTAATTGAATTTTCTTGTTTATTTATCAAGTCCTTGATTTTTTTCTAATTTTATAACTGTTTATATTGTTTTGTCTTTAGTTCACTATTACTCACTCTGATTTGACTTCTTCGACTCCGAGATGGATCAACCTTTAGCTTTATGATAAGATGATCTGGTCTATTCGACAAACTAAGTCGATGGTTTTACTTTAAATCCCAGAAACACAATTTTGCCATAATTAGTCTTTAGTGTTTTCATAATTATTTGGTTGCTTGGTTTTCCTAAAGTTCCAATCTTCTTCATTATTAGGTCCTCGAAGAATTAGATCCTGAAATA